TTAACCGATCATGCGGGTAGATTTGTCTATGACTTTGCTTTGGCGTATGGTCTAACACAACTGGTTACTACGCCTACGCGGTTCCCAGATGTGGAAGACCATGTACCTTCCCTGTTGGACCTTCTGCTGACCACTCATCCGGACGGATATCACGTCTCCGTCGATGCCCCTCTGGGCTCTTCGGACCGTTGTCTGATCCGGAGTACGGTGCCACTCACGCTCCAATCGCAGTTGCGATCTGCAGCTTGCCGCCGTGTTTGGCACTATAGGTCAGCTGATTGGGACGGGATGCGGTCTTTTGCGGGTCTGCTTCTCGCCGGAAGATCCCAGCGTTGTTTCCGATTCTGTTGCTGATGTGGTACTTGAGGGTATGGAACTTTTTGTTCCATCCTCTGTGGTGCCTATCGGAGGCAGATCCCAGCCATGGTTTGGTCGCTCCTGTAAAATAGCATCACGCTATAAGCAGGAGTGCTACCGGGCCTGGGCTGACGCATCAACGTCTCGGGACGTAAACACCAGCGCACTTAAAAATAAGAATAATTCCGCCTCCAGGTCCTTCAAAAGCGTCATTGCCAAGGCAAGGTCTGAGCACATCGGCAGAATTGGCGAGAAGCTAGTTCGCCTTCCTTCGGGAACCCGTGCATTCTGGTCTCTCGCCAAGGCTGTCCAAGGGAACTTCTGTCAGCCATATCTTCCATCTCTGCACAGAGAGGACGACTCACTGGCCCATGCCGCAAAGGAGAAAGCCGATCTGTTGAGCTCTCTTTTTGCGTCCAACTCGACTCTAGATGACGGGGGGAACACACCGCCGACCATCCCGCGATGTGAGTGCTCCATGCCGGATGTGCGGTTTACACAGCGCTCGGTTCGCAAAGCACTCTTCTCCCTGGACGTTAGCAAGTCGAGTGGGCCCGATGGAGTCCCTCACATTGTGCTGAAGACGTGTGCTCCGGAGTTGGCACCGGTTTTAATGCGTCTTTTCCGGTACTCCTACTCCCAAGGCATAGTCCCAAATTCATGGAAAACAGCTTTGGTCCACCCAATCCAAAACAGGCGACCGCTCAGACCCGTCCAACTACAGGCCTATTGCCATCACCTCCTACAAAATAATGGAATCGATTACAAACTGCCAGCTCATGAGGAACCTTGAGGATCACCAGCTGATTAGTGACCGCCAGTACGGTTTTCGTCGAAGTCGATCGGCTGGTGATCTTCTAGTCTATCTGTCTCATAGATGGGTGGAAGCAGTAGAGTCCAAGGGAGAGGCATTGGCCGTTAGTTTGGACATAGCGCAGGCCTTCGTTCGGGTCTGGCACAAAGCGCTTCTTTCGAAGCTTCCTTAATTCCTTAAGGACAATTGTATTGTAATTGTATTAAGGATGTTGAAAGTGCCGCAATATGTTTACCTGGGACAAATAGTCCGACTAGGTAAGTCCAACTTAGTCAAGCAGCATTGCTAGCGCTGAGACCAAACTTGGAGAATTCGAAGCTAGTTTGAGACTGCGTGAACCGCCTAAACGCCTTGGGAGGTAATAACAAGGTAGTTTTAAGATGGGTTCCTGGTCATGCGGGTATCGTAGGCAATGAAGTTTCATTGCCTACGATACCCGCATGACCGACAAGCTCGCACGGGAGGGCTCAAAGAGTACACAATTTGGACACGAGCCATTTTGTGGCAGCTTTAAAAGCCTCGCCCGATTTACCCTGGAAACTCTTTACCACAACAAATGACTTAAGATCTGGTCTGATATACTTAAAACATTCAAAAACCTTAATCCAGGCTTTCAATCGTAAATTCACTTCGGAAACCCTGGGATTCGGTAAAAATAAATTGCGCATTCTGGTAAGAGCCGTGACTGGACACTGTTGTCTTAAAAAGCACATGTCCATCCTGGGACTAAGCAACTCAAGGATGTGTTGGTTTTGCTCCCTAGAGGAGGAAACGCCTTTACACATCTTGAAAATTGCGGACCCTTAATGCGCAAACGCAGCACTCATCTCGGAAACTATATACTTCGCCCAGAAGAAGTGAAATTACTCACATCTAAGCAACTACTTCTATTCATTGAGGACGTAGGCCTTAGCAGTGAACTGTAGACATATCACAATAGATCTTTTAGGTCGCAGTGATACTGGTCTCTCTAGACCTGCATAGCTGCTCGTACATAATTAAAAAAAGTCCAACTTCGACGGAGAGGTCTATCGACGAATTCAACTCGGCTGGGCAGCGTTCGGGAAAATACGGCACATCTTCTCATCAGGTATACCTCAAAACTTTGAAAACAAGACTGTACAACCAGTGCGTGTTGCCAGTGATGACCTATGGAATTGAGACGTGGTCGTTCACTACTGGTCGTATAAGGAAGCTCAAAATCACTCAACATGCTAAGGAGAGGGCTAAGCTCGGCGTTTGGATGGCCGCAGTAGAACCAGAGTAACCGACATAGCCCAAAGATTTAGTATGTTGAAGTGGCAATGGGCCGGCCATATAGCTCGAAGAACCAACAATCGATGGGAAGAAAGGTTCTCGAGTGTCAGCCTCGTACCGGCAGGCGAAGTGTAGGGTGTCCCCCCACTAGATGGAATGATGTAATGGATGTAAATGGCTCGGGATCGTGCTTTGTGGCATTCCTTGGGGGGAGGCCTATGTTCAGCAGTCCACTTGATTGTGAAGGGTTGTAATGATTAATGATGATGATGATGAATCTAGGGAAATCTTTAGTTCTTTAGTAAGGCTTATGTTAGATAAATACCATTTTATGAAAATTTGTTGTCAGTCGGTTTTCTGAATAAGTAAATAAATATATATACTATTTCATAAAAAAATTGACTCTAATTATAATATTCTGTCTACGAGAAGTACCTTAGAGCATAATAATAATATATTCTATGTGGAACCTATTTACTTACTGTTACGGATTTATAAATACATACTTCGTTAGATACAGGTTTGTGCTTACTGTACACATTTTACATTTCTCATGTCACTGGTGGAGGGCGTTTTGTCTGGCGTCGGATTTCTGCTCCTGTATTATTGTTTAAATAATGGTTACAAGTGGATTTTGATATATAAGAGTGGTGCGATTTTGTGTATTAAATGTAAACCATTAGTGGAAACGGTGAAACAAGTGCTCCAATGATGATGTGAATCTCAGGATACGGTGTCTGTCTGCTAAAGCGCCTTGAGATACTATCTTCAACTGTATATTGGCTCAAGTTTCCGTCAAAATCTCCCAAAGGCTACGCAATGTATTGCATCAACATATTGTGAAGCAGTATACTACACTTGATACTGAGATAAATGAAGACATAGCTTAAAAGACAAGCATCCAAGTCAAAAAAGTCATTTTAAAAAATGGTCACTGATGGTCACCACACTGGTTATAACCAGTGTGACCATATGTGGGTGGTTCCTGCCATTTTGGCAGGATTGGCCTCTTATTTTATCCTCTGGCATGATCGGTTGACGTTTCGATTCCACGACTAGTTGACGACGATTTCATTATGGCAACTTAAAACGCTGGAAATGTCAGCCCTATGTTTGTATCACGTTCAATAAACAACTTTAAAAGTTTGTATGTAAAGTTTATATACTTAAAATGAGTATTCATAAACAAGAGTTTATGATTAAATTATTAATATTTCAATCATTCATAGAAGATACGTACTTTAGTTTGGTATCCTAGTATAAATACAGTAATCTATGTTGGTATCGAATTAGATCTCATGGTGATAATGTCTTGTTAGCGATATCATGTTAATAATATTTCGTGGGCGATAGTATTTATAGGTGGTGGTGATAAGCGAAAATATGAAAGGGCGTATAGAGCGGAGTGGGAGCAAGATCCTTTACTTTCATTGTGGATCTCCGAAGCTAAAGATGATCCACACTGTGTAACTGCGAATGAGGGCTAATAATTTTCTGCTCACCAGATGTCGCTACATTGAGATGAAGTTTCTTGTTACACAATATCATTTATTTGATAAGTTAGTTTTTAATAAAAGTTTATCAGTTTCTAGAGTATTATATTAATACACAAAACAATGCCTCAGTAGTTTTACTCTTTAATTTTTTTTATACATTTTTTATTTTCTTTTAATGTATCTTCTTTTATGAATATCTGTGGTTTGGTTTATTTGTTTTAAATCTTATTAATATAAAATATAGCTAATAGTACACAAAGAACAAATTAACTTCCCCGCTATGAAATCTGTCAAATATTATAAGGTTGACTAACAGAGAATGCTTTTAGCATTAAGTTCGCCTTTTGTTCCTGTACTTAATATGTAAGGTTCAATAAAATTTATTAAATAAATAAATAAACATTATACGTCACTTTTAAGTGGCGCTGCCATGGAGGTAGAAAAAGTGCCCTCATTGGCATCCCGGCTGTCCACTTTAAAGGAGCATGCCGCTACTAGTAATCATTAAAAATATGAGTGAATTCAGCATGCGAAAGAATATTTTCTGACATAAATTTAATTAAAATCAAAACACGAAACTAATTTATAAACAAATATGTAGCGTCAATTTTGCACGTTAAACAAGGCAGCAAGTTGGTGAGCATAGCGATTGCATTGCATTCGAACCAACGAAAAATATGTTTAATTTTAATTTAATAAAAATATAGCAATTAAATGTGTATTTTTACTTTTCTTGCTTTAATACAATGGTAAATAAACTTGGCAGTCTTTAGGCATTTTTAACTTCAAACTGGCAGGATTTGGCAAGTTTTTAACCAAAGTAAAGCAGGATCTGTATTTTAAAGATGGTCACACTGGTTGTAACTGTCAATGTCAACTGACATACTGACAAAGTGACAAATTAAGAGGTTCAACGTGAACGCTTTCGAATATTTCATCATATTTTTGTCTTCAATTTATTTATTAAATCTATATAACACGGATTAACAAAAGTAATTATTTTTCTCATCTAAAAACTTTTACTCAAAACTTGTGTGCGAACTTTATCTTTAATTTAGGTTATAATCATTTTACAGATGCCGTTGTCGTGTCGATTTTATCAGGAGAAATATCCTGAAGTAGAAGATGTAGTTATGGTAACTGTGAGATCTATAGCAGAGATGGGCGCGTATGTCCATCTGCTAGAGTACAACAACATCGAAGGCATGATCTTGTTGTCGGAGTTGTCGAGAAGACGTATTAGATCAATCAACAAACTCATCAGAGTTGGGAAGACTGAACCTGTTGTAGTTATCAGAGTAGACAAAGAAAAAGGTTCGTAATTGGTAAAAGTCAATGAATATTTATTATATTTTTTCAGCCACTAAACTGTCAAGCAGTAAAATATAGAAACTAAAACCTGCCTATCTATAAATGTCTGTAACCTCCGTTTAAATTTGAATATTGTTTTACCCCATTGGATATAGTTAACGGCTTAGCTTTCCATTGACGTCCGTCAAGTTGGGTGTTGATACATATTTTTTCACAGAAAAGTTACACTAACATTGCAAGAATAATTTTTTTCTCAAAAATTACGCATTTCCGCATGTTGAAACTTTGTGTGTGTGCTTATATAAATGTAATCTTTCTGTAAGAATACGTATCAACACCCAACTCGACGAACGTCAATGGAAAGTCGTACCAGCATGTGGCTCACCTGATGGTAAGTGTCGACCGACGCCTTTGAACAACTGCAATACCAATATAATTCCACCATGATAGTTTCTATATGGTCCATAGGTCATATTGCTCTGAAAAAATCACCGGGGGTAGTAAATTTCAAAAGAGTTGTGCAAGGAAGGAAACTCCTAGTAAATTGCACCTCGGTGGACCTGCAAACCCCGAAATGATGTGGATGCTATAGTGAGTTTTGTCATGATGTGTCTTACTGGAATTTGACCCCGACTGAGAGATGAGAACAACATTTCATGCGAGGCCAAACATGCATCTTGTAAATTTGCAAGCAGTGTACTAAACTTCCTAATGACTTGATGATAGAGGTCATATACATATGTATATTTGTTCTATATAATATATTGGTTATATGAAACAATATTCTTTTTTATTTATTTAAAAATTTTTAGGTTAAATTTTAATTTAATTTATTTAAAGTATAAAATATGTATTATTAGAATGATTTTTTTTAAATCAGCTCTAAAAATTATGCCAAAAATAAATCTATGGGGTTGTCCCATCTACTGTGGAGATATGCCTCTTAAACTTAACCAGTGCTGCTAAACACTCCGTTCATAGGGGGGACATTTGCTGTGTTTGGCAGGTTACCTACAATCTCTATATATACAAAAATCAATTGTTCTCTGTTAGTCTTGCAAAAACTCGAAAATGTCTTGAATTACATTTTAATAAAATTTTCACGTTTGAGTTGAACCCTGGATGGCTTAGATTCGCAACTGGACCTGGTAGGTGGCGATGGTTGAGATCCAGAAATCACCCATGTGAACCCAGGGCGGATCGCTAGTTAATAAATAATAAAAAAAGAATGCCAATAAGTAATAATGCTATTGACATTAGGAAAACTCCCCTTAGCCATACCAAGTAATGGTTTACAACAGTAGTGGATTTGAACCCATGACTTTACAATATTTACATCTGTCCCCTTAATCTAATAAGATTAAGGCTCCTGTCACTTTTTTTTAATAACTGTTACATTTTAAAAATCTATTTACAGGTTACATAGATTTGTCAAAACGACGTGTTTCTGCAGAAGATATAGAGAAATGTACAGAGAGATTTGCTAAGGCTAAAGCAGTAAATTCAATACTGCGGCATGTTGCTGAGCTATTGCACTATGAGAGCTCAGAACAACTTGAAGAGTTATACAAAAAGACTGCTTGGCTTTTTGAAGAAAAGTATAAGAAAAAGGCTTCTGCTTTTGATTTTTTCAAACAAGCTGCAGTGTAAGTTTAAAAATAATGCTTGACCTGATTACAGAATATTTATAATAGACAAGTGGTAAAATTAAAAATTTTGTACAATGGGACCACATGAGAAGCACCAGCTTTCAAATAAATAAAGAATCATCAAAATCGGTTCACCTAGAAAAAAGTTATGAGGTAACACACATTAAAAAAACAGTCAAATTGAGTACCTCCACCTTTTTGAAGTTGGTTAAAAAAGTGATCCAGCTTCTTATTATAGGCTCGACCATATTGTTACATTTTGACTTTAGGCAAGTTTTGGATCTCTTTCTAGAATTTAGATGATTGAAATCTCTTCTATGGCCATATATTAGGCATTCCAGTAGCTAACCTTATAGTTGAATGGTTTTAAATACTACACATCTGTTTGTGTATGTGTAGTAGTTTTGAATTTAAAACAATCCTTGTTGGACAACTTGTTTACACAAACAACTGCTGTTTACAAAGAAATATGATTAAATAAAAACAATCTATTGATATATAAAATTGGAACTTGAAATATAAAATAAAATTAGAGACTAAGCTTTACGCATCAGTATCAGACATTTCTTCTTCTCCTTCTCTCTGCCCTCCAAACCAGCTGATAAATTTCCACAGATATTTGATATACACACTTATGTACTGGAGATACTTTAATAAATTAATATCCCATGTAAATATTTGTTATTATATTTGAATGAAAAATGAGCTAACACTGTGCCTGAGATGAATACTACAGCCCATGGGGCACCTGCAATCAACCTCAGTTAATAAAAACAATAGATGCATTATCACACCTTAGGACCAAGATGAAATTGCTAACAGTATCTTATTATACTTATAATATATTGTTATATTTTATTATACTTAACCTTCAAACCCACAAACGAAGTAGTGGTTGTAGAGCTGTATTGGCTGTAGTCTTGTGTGATGGTGTCATAATGACATCAAATACCATATATATATCCCATGGTCCATTGGTGTTGGCAATGGGCAAAGGGAAACTGAAATATATGGGCAGCAGCGTGTTTCTGATACCATCTCAAAATAATAAAAAAAAGTGTAGTTGCCAACCTGTCTGCTAAGTGTGAGAACTAAGGCAAATATTCACTTTATCAGGCAATCTATTGTAAGTTTTAATGGGCTTTAATGTATGAATAGGTGAGTTTGTGTTTTTTTTTTATATAGGAGAGGGGGCAAACGAGCATGCGGCTCACCTGATGGTAAGTGACTACCGCCGCCCATGAACAACTGCAACACCAGGGAGGGAATTGCAGATGCGTTGCCGGCCTTTTAAAAAGGAGTAGGCTCTTTTCTTGAAGGTCCCTAAGTCGTATCCGTCCGGAAAAATCGCTGATGGTAATCGATTCCACAAGGAAGTCGTGCGAGGAAGAAAACATCTTCTAAATCGCACAGTGGTGCACCGCCAATCATCCAGATGGTGTGGATGGTATCGGGAGTTCTGCCGCGATGTGCGTTCGTGAAATTTGGCGGCTGGGATTAATCCGAACAATTCCTCAGAGCACTCCCCGTGGTAGATGCGAAAGGAAATGCAAAGGGATGCAACATCTCTTCGCAGTGCCAATGAATCGAGCCGATCGGAAAGGACTCGGTCGTCGACGATTCGAGCCGCTCTGCGCTGGATGCGGTCAAGTGGAAGGAGCTGGCACTGGGGAGCCCAGAGATGGGAACAGTATTCCATGTGAGGCCGAACCTGCGCCTTGTAAAGTTGCAGGCGGTGTGCCGGCATGAAATACTGTCCCGCTCTGCTGAGCACGCCAAGCTTTTTAGAGGCCAATTTGGCCTTCTCTTCCAAGGGACCACGAAACTGCACGTCACTCAATATGTTGACTCCGATTTTTCTAGTTTTTACTAGATTTGACTAGTATTTATTACTAAAAATTATTAGTAGTAAAAATGGAAAACAATAACACACTTTCAATTTTATACAACAAACTTAAATCCATAAGTGATAAGTTATTGCTGTAGTTGAAATCACATTAGGTGTAATAATTTCTTAATGACCTATTATATCTAACTTTTACAGAGATCCTTCAGTCCTCAATGAGTGCGGGCTTGATGAAAAAACCAAACAAGTGCTTCTAGAGAATATAAAACGAAAACTCACTTCACAAGCTGTCAAGATTAGAGCAGACATTGAATGTGCCTGCTATGGATATGAGGGAATTGATGCTGTGAAAGCTGCACTTAAAGCGGGCCTCTCATTATCTACGCCTGAAATGCCAATCAAGATCAACTTAATAGCTCCACCTTTATACGGTAAGTGATAAAAGCATAAATGACTATGATAAATCTTCTTGTTATCTATATTGAAAAAAAAAGATTCTATTCTATTCTTTAGCTAAAATGCCAAGTTAATAAATGTTATAGTATAAGTTAATAGATGGATTAATAATTCGGTTTTAAAAAGAGTGTCTTTGTTCGTAAAAGCAGCTGGTGAATGCATACGGGAGGAGTTAGTCGTGCTGTTGGTTAAACATGGAGGAGCCATGCGGGAATCTCTCTTTACTTTTTCTAAAAAAAATAATGAAATACCAACAGTGTCCCACATTGTAAGACTGGTAGGAATTGTTTTCAATAAGAAACAATCTGCAACTGTGTTATCCTCAACTGACTTTCAGCAGCAGGTTATCAGCTTGGTCCACCACAATTTCTACAATAGCTACACTCCAGGTTTTTTTAGGAATGGAAATCATTAAGTCACTTAGAGGCTTTATAGAGAAAAAAAATTGGATAATTTCCTTTCGTGACTTCCCCTTGTAAAAACCTATAACTTTAATTTGTCCCATTTCATTCTTCACAGTCATGACGACGTCAACACCTGAAAAGACAGATGGTCTCAAAGCTCTACAAGATGCCATCGACAAAATCAAAGAAACAATAACAGTATCTGGTGGTGTGTTTAATGTACAGATGGCAGTAAGTATTCATATAGACAATCTGACCTTCATGTGTTGTGATAGTTTATAATTTTTTATTTGTTTATTGGCCTGTAAAAATATAGAATCTATATATAACTTAACCAAAACGCCACCTAGGGTCCAGATTTTCTGAATTTTTTTTGGCACTAAACTAAGGTCATACTGTAAATATAAGTCATTTTGTTCCAAAAATATAGAATTTTGTTAATAAGTTGACCACAGTGCCACCTATTGGATCCTAGCATAGTTATAAACCATTACCTTGACAAAACAAATATGTTGTATGAATATGACCTCACAGTCCACCTGATGGTAAGTGGTTTCTGTGGCCTATAAACATCTACATCTATCCTCGTTTGCGAATCAAAATGCAGATAGATACGTTGTCACCCGTGAGGACTAAGATGGAATGCCTCTTTTTTCAGTAAAAAGGGTCTCTGGTTCTCTACACTCACCATACGAAACACAGCAGTGTTAAGCTGCTATTTTACGCTGGTATTCTGTGAGAGCGTAGTCCTTCCCCGGTCGTGCCGACCCAACCCATTCGTGCTACAACTATAATACTAATATAGCTGCAGCATGGCTCTACCATGTATGAAATCTTCTTTTAAAAAAACGTTATCCCCACACTAGGATTTTCTCCTGTATCGTGGAGGCAGTTTACAAACATAAATTGCATAAGGACAAACATCCAGACCCGGAGAAATTATTTGCAGGCCATTTAAATACTTGTTCCGTGCGGGATTCGAACCCGCGGCCCCCAGCGCAGCAACTCATTGCTAAGGCACTATGCCACGGAGCCGTCAAGAAATAAAATTTCTTTTTTTTCATTTCTTTTTGATCACCCTTTTCTTATACACATTCACGTTATAGTGGTATGCTGTTAATAAATAAACCGCAGCAGCCGTTAGCGTATCAATAATCATTTTAATAAATTCGTCCGCACATTGGCCTGAACCAAACCAAACTGAACGACCTCCCAACGTGTCCAAGTTACGCGATCACTAACAGATGCACCAATAATCTAAAGATTTGCACAGGTACCTATTAAACCACGATAGTTTAAAATAATACAAAACTATTTCAGCCCAAAGTGGTCACAGCGACTGATGAGGCTGAATTGGCGAGGCAAATGGAGCGCGCAGAAGCGGAGAACGCAGAGGTGGCTGGCGATTCCGCAGATGAGGGTGACGACCAAGGTATAGACTAAACATGATATAAACTTTTTGAAATTTCGGAGCTTCTACATTATTATTCATGATTTCAATAGATATAAGTCAAGATTCAATAGATATAAGGCTTCAGTCAAAATATTTTTGACTGCTGTTACAGCCTATAAAAGTCTACTGGTGACCATAAGCCTCCCCAATAGTTAGCCTCATAGACGAGATATATACCATTACTGCCACGCGTGGCAAGTGGGTTGGCAACTACAGTTTTATTAGTTATATCAGTTTATTTTTAGTTGTTATTAAGAAGACACTGCTACCCATCTCCTGGTTCGTTTCCTCCAACCCGTCAGCCAAGCGTGGCAATTATGGCAAATCTATGCGGTAGAATTATGATAACTGTAATGAATGAGTGAGATCTTTCTTTCATTTCCCATAGTCGCCTCTTACGACATCCATGCGACAAAATGAAGTGATAAATTATCTTATATCTCCACTGCAACACTAATGAAATTTTCAGTTGCAATATTAAGTGCTAACTACACGCTTACCCGTGAATAAAGTATCGTGAGAAAACCCGCATGTTAGAAAAATTCAAAAATATATATTTAGAGTACATTTGGACTTCTTACTTATTGGTACATTCATATAGTTAAAAAAATATTTAAAATTTTGGCTTGAATGCTTGTCCTTTAAGCCATGCTTTCATTCATCTCATTATTAAGTCAATAATCCTTTATAGTACACTACTTCACAATATGTTGATGTAGTTTTTTTTTTTTGAGATTTTAACGGCAACTTAGCATATAGTTAAAATTATACTAGAAAGTCACAGTCAATAACAAAGAACACGTAAAAATAGCTTTTTGTAGTTTGATATTTTATTTATATTAGATTTTTAGTCATAGTGATTAATTGTATTGTCATCGATTTTTTATACATTCGCAAAATTTCTGATAATTCAAATGTCTGGACATGGGTGAAAACTGAATTATAAAATTCATTACATACACACATACATATCTACATAATTACTTATACATACAGGTCAAGCTAAAAACTAATCAAAGAATATTATTAATTTGAAGGTATGGGCGACGCCGGCGACGAAGAACCTCAGCAAAATGGTGCTTCCGATGAGGAGGATGAAAATTAAATATAAATATATTTCATTGTATCATTTATACGTCGCTATATATATAGTACTGTCATGGAAGTCCTAAAATATAAATCTGTTTTATACAATTCCTGTTATTTTATTTCGGTCATGTTTGACAATTTTATATTTAAAAATTTGCTCCCAGCGCAACAAATACCCAAGTATGATGATTTCTTATATTTACGCGAACATTACACATTGAATAAAACTATTTTACGGATTTTATCGCGTTTAATTAAAACTAAATCCAAGCATACAACTGCAAGACTTCAAGATACTATCAGCGCATGCTGCGTGGATCGGACCAAAATTAATAATAATATAAGGAGTAAACTTTGACATCGGGACGTCAATCACCTTAGTCCTCTCGTGACCATGGGTGCTGCAAAGTACCCGAAACATCGGGAAATAAAAATAAATTAAATTATGATTTCTTATATTTACGCGAACACTACACATTTAAATAAAGCTAATTTTACGGATTTTATCGCGTATATTAACTTATTTTATATTCCCGACGTTTCGGGTGCTTTCCAGCACCCGTGGTCACGGGGGGACTGAGGTGTTTGACGTCCTGCTGTCATAGTTAGCCCGGCTACCTTCAGTTTTTTTTATATTAATTTTTGGTTCGATTTACGCAGAATGAGCGTACAGTATCTTGAAGTCTAGCAGTGGTATACTTGGGTTTGGATTTAATTTTATTAATTATGGGATCCCAAGCAGATGGCAGCACCCATCCATCTTCTCTATTGAAATTAGGATGTTTTTTAATTTTAATAGCCTCGCGAATCATCCTTGGTATGGTCTATTAAATCTAATGTAATGGCGGGGACGATCTTGAACATGTTCACAAACTGCACATTTCCCGATACGTTGGTGCTTTACGTCAGCTATATGTTCTTTAACGCGGGTTTTTATAGATCTTTTTGTTGGTCCTATGTACGAGAGACCAAATTCACAATCCAGCATGTACACTCCTGCATTTTGTAGAGGCATATGACATTTGACGGATGGTAAAAATTGACCAATCTTCTTCAGCGGCTTGAAGTATGTTTTAATGGAAGCTCGTTTCAAGGCGTAGCCAACCTCGTCTGTGACTCCTCTGACATAGGGTAGTACCAGCAGGTACACACTCGACTGTGGCTGGCTTCACTCGGTCACTGTGACGTAGGCGCGGGACCCAGAAGCTTGTTGTCTTGCAGTACTTGCTCGACGTGCTGAAGCTCGGCGGCCAGATGTTTTCTGTCACAGATCCCTCGTGCTCCTGGCATTCTGTACTTCTTCTTCAGTGTAGTCTGTTCTCCTCTGGATTGCACTCCCTCTTGAAATAACAATGGCTAACAATCGTTACGCATTCAAAAAGAAAGTACGCGAATATTTTTTGAATAAAGTTAAATTTACATTTTTATCAACTATACTTACCTACGTCTACTATTCATTTCATCTCTGCATCACCGAAAGTTTCACTGGTGAGGAATGCTTTGGGCGTTAAATTCGCCTATACGTTTATGAAGTTAATTAAATATGTTACCTACGTATTATACACTAGCTTTTTTTCATTTCATAAATGTAGTTCTATTCACGATCAACGTGTGAGAGGAACTCTATATTCATGAACGGGAGTAGAAATATAGAGAAGATGGGCAGAAGCGTCTTTCTGATTATAGCTTAAAATAATAAAAAGATGCAGTTGGCAACCCGCCTGCCGAGCGTGGCAAGAACGGCTAATATTCAACTTATTTCGTAATCTATGGTGGGAATCGAAATGATGAACGGGAGTGGAAATATATTAGCAATGTAGAGGCGGCAAAATAGAAACCAATACCACATTTCGTCTCGCGGATGTCGTAAGAGGCAACAGAAGGGAAAATGAAACGGGAGGTGGATGGCATCATCTTCCTTATAACAACGCAGAGTAATAAAAAGCTGCGATTGCCAAGCGTGGCTACTCCTGCAAACAACCACGATTAAGTCACTCTCATGCTCATTATAAAGGTATGTTTTACTTAAGTCACGCATAAAATATCATATTTTATAATTAAAAAAAAGAATTTTAATTAGTAATATCTATTAGAATATTATAAATTACAAACAAAACATTAAATCATTTGATCGAGAAATATAAGAACATATTTGACATAAAGTAATTTAAATTTCTTGTACACTTGAACTGTATTTTTTAAAGTACAATTATTAAAAACACAGTCACTATTACTAATATTTTCCGTCGCAATACAATTGCTAAAAAAAATAAGACCGTTATGAATCAGGTTTGATAAATCATTTACATATAAGCCATAATCCAGATCATACAAGACTTCTGTAAATCAAGTTTCGTTGCACCTTTAGTCCCGTTTAATTAAATCTTTAAATTAATGTTGTAATTCTTATACTAAAACTTTTTGATTCTCTGTATTTACTAACAAAACTTCTTCATTCGGATATGATGTTGATATTTTAGATCTAGAATTCTCAGATAGAACATTTTTGTTTGATTTTAATTTCAAATAATGTTTTTCTTGAATGTGAGCAAATAAACATTGACTGGTAGATGATGTAGATGGAGTTGGAACTAATGCTACTTTATGTTCTGGATAAGAAAGATAAAGAATAAGATAGAGAAATCACTGCTGCCTTGCTTGCTCTGAAACGATTTTTGTCTATAAAATCGTTTAGTATTCTACAATTTTTAAATAAAAAAGTAGATTTAAGTCACTTGTACTATAAAATAATGTACGATATATATACTTAAGTACCTGATTATTAAAACGTGTAAAGTTAGTGCACTCGTGCGCTAACTTCACACAGTTAAGTAATCTGCTACTTAAGTCCCTTATATCGTAATGTACTATTAAACAAAAATAAAAAGACTTATGCAACAATAAACTAGTTTAATTTTAAAAAATATATTTACAAATTCAATCTATATAAATTATATATACAATAAATTACATTCCTTATAATCTTTTATAATTTATAACAAATTAATTAATAAATTTTACTAATTGTAACAAGCGCTAACGCAAGCAATAAAATATCACACTTTTCGTCCATTAATTTTGGTCAATTTACTTCTGTGGATTTTGTCGAAAAATAAAAGTCCTGCTGCTTTTTCTATAGTTTCCGGTGGTACCTGGGAAGATAGAAGTAAAATTTTATAAATAGAAATTGGTGGTAGCCCAGTGGTGGAAATTCGACCATAATTTATTTCATTTTTAAGTTTGTCTATTATGGCGGCTCTTCATGTTGGCCAACAAACTGGCGAATGTGTTAGCGCGAGATCCGTCTGGTGTCGGTTTTTTTACAAAAGATCAAAGGATTGTGGCAGAGTATTGGCCGCCACGTCCACACGTTGGGCGCACGTTCAGTTTGCTACGAGCTCCCAGAGTGATTGCACTCACCTGATTTAAATTTTATATGCACGCATCGTAACTAGTGTCTACATAACGGCAATAACAATGACCAATGAAAAAACTTTTCGCTTATATAATTATGCCTATGCCTAGGTGTGTTAATGTTTATATAGTTTACTTATCTGTATAAAGTTAATGTATAATAAAGAAATATAAAAAAATTATATTAAAAATATTAAATATTAAAAATAGTGAAAATGAAATAAAAAATAGTGGTATGCTGTGAATAAATAAACCGCAACAGCCGTTAGCGCTTCAATAATCATTTTAATGAATTCGTCCGCACATTGGCCTGAACCGAAGCAAACTGAACGACCTTCCAACGTGTGGACGCGATCACAAATTCTTGGCCAATATCTCTGCCAACACATTCGCCACTGTGTTGGCCAACGTGAAGGGCCGCCTTTAAGCAAGTTGTATTACATTTTCAACTGCACAGTAATATCCAAAACCATAATCATCATCATCCATCACAGCCCCCATAGATTGCCTCATAGGTGGAATATTTACCATAGTTACCACGCTTGGTATGCGCAGTTTTTTCTTTCTATTTCTAGTCATTAGTAGCAAGACGCTGTTGTCCATGTCCTGATTTGTTTCCCACTATCGACTCTTACGACACCCACGGCATGGTTATTGGGTAGTGGATATTCTTACACAGCCACTACACGTTAACATACGAAACACAAATAACTATGTAACTACTATACAAATATAATACATTTTTATAATATACTTGACATACACTCCACAGACTATTGCAAAATAACATTTGAAATCACACAAAGTTCACAGCTCATTTATTCAATGTCTAAGTAAATATTATAGACCATAGGCTATTATGTGTTTGACAATGCCAGCATGAACGTAAGCAATAAATGTTTTATTTAATTTAATTAAGCGTTTTTGTAACACATGTTATTTCTTAATTATTGCTTTCTGCACTCTTTCTCTATATAAACTTTAACTTAGCCAAATTTCACACTCCTCCGTGCACACAATATATTTAAAAGGGGGGGTACAAAGTTTTTCCTTAACATATTAACATATTAATCTAATAAATTGTACTTCTTCCTGCTTTCATTGTATTCAGCTCCAGTAGATCATACTACTGATTATTACTATTGTTCTTTTGTATTATTGTTAAGGTATTTAATTGAATTTCTGATATATCTGCCAATATTATGATCATTATTTGTAAGTACATATTTCTTTTTTCATTTCAATATATTTTCTAATGTCACCCGTCACACGTGCACTGCTGAATATAGGCCTCACCTATAGATTAATCTTACAATAGGATATTTTCGATAGTTGCTATGTTCAGCAAGCAGATTGGCAACTGCACTTTCTAATTATTTAAAGTTGTCATCAGCAAAATGCTGCTGTCCATCTCCTACTTAATTTTCCTTTGTCGCCACTTTATAACAGCCCAGCACGACTAGCATGGACTGTGGACAAAAAATTCATCCCCCGATTATATCCACTGACAAGAGATAAGATTATTTTGTCCTTATGCCAAAGCACGGCAACGGGGAGAAGCATATCCCCGTTTAACATAACGAGTAGACATATAGCCGTAGCATGGAGCCAAACGAACGATGAAAAATTATGCTTTTTTGACTTTTGAAAAGGACAATTTTATCCTAGTTCATTGGACGTGGGTTTAAGTTTATAGTCATACAAAAAATCTATCTAAGTCTATCTCCCATTTTATCTACTGTGGATATTATTATATCCACCAGTGTGCCCATGCTTGGAGGGTGGATAAAACTAAGCGAGGGGATAAACATTTTCTCCTTTCCTGAGGATAAAATTCGAATTTTTTCAAGAGAGAACCCTGCAGGCATATATAGGATAATGTTTTCTCTTACGCTGCAACTCTACGGCAATTATTTTTGTACTAATTGATCATAAAAACATAGCTTTGATTGCAATTATTAGAAAACTTTTATTCAATTAAGTAGCATTTTTGTTCATTACGTTAGTTAGATAACTATTGAGACAGCAGTATCAAATAATAAGAAAAATAAATAGTATACAACCCACCATGAAGGAAGATATGGGAGTTTCATCGGGGATTTTTTGGTTGGGCATCACATAAGCCTCCATATCAAGAGTCCCATCAGAGCCTTCGCCCACCACGACCTTGTAAAAATGTGTGGGAACAGCTACTGTGTTGGCACCAATCACCTGATACCGGATATACCATTTGCCATCCGATTCCTTCCTGAAAGAAAAAAGGAGACCAAACATAACAACGTCGAAAGCAGGTGGTTTACCTAATACGAAATATATTAAAACTAACTGATACCCGCGTCCGCGTTGCTTGATATATTAACAAAGTGTTCATATGTGCAAAGGGAAAACATCAAAAAGAATGCAAGCAAAAAATATATGTTGCTTACAAAATTTCTTTGTAAACTATGTTGTTCCATTTGTAGCTAAAATATATAAATTATTTGGGTTAATAATGCGAGAGCAAGCGACGTTACAGTTCACCATGTACTGTGTGAAAAACCCCGTATAAAAATCGTTGTTTCTTAAAACTTTAATAACTATATATTAAATGTTTCTTAAAACTTTAATATTTTAATAACTATATATTAAATGAAGATATCGCAATATTATTTTTTAGATAAGGACCAAGTGCCTAAGAAACAAAACTTAGAAAACCTAATTGAAAGCTATCCAGTAGATTTTCCGTGATGCGCGCACAACTGCAAATCTTTATCATTTTATTTATATAGATATGTATAGAGATTATATTTTATATTCGGATGAATTTTTGTTTCTCTATTGTTCGTTTTTATTCAATTCATCCAATTATGATGACAATTTGGTGACAAGTGTGTGCGCCCGCGATTGTTTCTGACAAAAAAGACATTGTAACAGCAAGTTGACGGCTCCGGGCCGCAAAAAAAACCTATGAAATCCAATAGTAATAACTAATACGCTGACGATCGCGACGAACAGCTAGTTCAATTTTAATGTCCATTCATTCACTACAGCTTATAGAAGTCCACTGCCAAACAATCTTCACCCGTAGATTGCCTCATAGGGGGAACTTCTCCATAGTTGGCACGCTTGGTAGGCGGTCAGCAACCACTGTTTTTAATTTTTTTATTTTGAGTTATTATCAGGGAGATGCTGCTGCTTATTACACCCACGGGACGAGAAGGAGTAGCAGTGGATATTCTTACACCGCTACTAACCAAACGGTTGATTCGTAATGTAATTAATTTCAAATGTATTGAGGCACAAAATAATAGTGCGCTCCTTTCCCCGTAAAGAAGTTATAATAGCGAAATCGCCATATCTATAATCAGCGTTTACGTCATAATAATGTTTATATTTTTTTTCTTATTTCTCAGACATGCAGGTTTCCTCACGATGTTTTCCTTCGTGCACGTGGTAAATCAGCACTTCAAATTGCTATTAACAATTTCATTGGTGCCGGCGAGGATCGAACCCATTTTGCTCGCGTTGTGTCAAATTTAGAGCGAGCGCTAACCATCTGAGCTACCACGGCTACAACTAACCCTCTCAGAAATCATGGGAGGCCTGTGCCCAGCAGTTGGACGTATATAGGCTGTAACTTTAAGGTTTTTTTATGTTTAAATTACCTAGGAAGATAAAGAGGGCCCGTGCAGCAGTATACGTTGTCATACACCTTCGTCAACTTTCTCACGTGTTTCTCAAGCCGATTCCACGCATGTCTGTTAAATCCCTCGCCTACCTGCAAAAACGATATTATGCTTTAGATATTTTGATGCGATACCTGCGTAATTTCTTTTAATCGATAAAAGAAATTCCGCAAGTACTTCTCCTGCCACAGGAAATTCATTTTTGTAAATTTTAATTTACAAAAAAAAATATTATGTCTTAAAATAAAGTTAATTTCTCGGGGTTATAATTATTTAATAGTGCCGAATAAAGTGTAGATTTCAAGCTTTGCAAGTTTTATAAGGACATTCTCGAGGCCTTAAAGGTCTCTGCACACTACAACGGCTCATACAATGAACGTGTTTGAATGTATTAACAAAGCTTCAGATCGTTACTAAAGTGCCACTATACGTCATGGTATACGGTCATGGTGTAGTGGGTAAGGTTTCTCTACCCTTATCCAGCAGCTTTTTATTAAAAATTGATAAAAACAAAGAAACGAAAAAAGAATCACCTGTGGAGCCATGTTGGTTAGATAGAATGTTTGCTCAACATGCTTCTGAGATAGTTTATGGTTTCCGGCTGCAGCCATGTGACCTCTGTCATAGCCAGATCCCTTGTAGTCAGTGTTCTGCGATCTGATGAAACATTTTACTAATAAAATAATGATTTAAATATAATAGTGGTATGGTATGGAATTTTTTATGTAACTAAAGCCTGATTACAAGGACATCATCCATTAAAGTGAGGATATAGAAATAGTTTATATCAATAAAGATAATTTCAAACATTCATATTTTTGACGATTCTCCATATAGCCAAGTCTAAGTATGTTATCAGTCTAGTTGTTTACACAAGATAGTTACAATACCATATATTAGAGGACAGAAGACCTTCATGGCATTTCCCATGGTTAACTTTCATAAAGCTTGTGATATGACAGTGATGACAGTAAAGAGTTAGTATACACAAACCTAAAGAACGGATGTATACTCTCATCCGGTGTAAAGTCACATTTGCTTCTATCAATCTCATCATTCTTCTCCACATGAGCTTTGGTTAAGTGTTCAAACACCCAGTGGGGTACCCTATTACGCCGATCATAGGATAAGACAAAGTCATCATATGAACGTACATTGTCTAAGCCAGGGAAACCATATTTCATAATTTGGGATACCTGTAAAGACAAATGTTTCATCATCTCTCTCCCATTTAATGGTTGGCCAAAATGTTTATCTTTTATTATTGAACTTCTAAAACATTTATGGTTCCTATATCTAAGAAAGACAAGTATTACACAATAGTGATTCTAAATTTAAATTTATATATTAAAAATAATGATTATGTACCGTAAAATGGGGTGAATAGACACAACTTTCAACTTCTACACTGTTTTTCTTACATATATTGTATATAAGCTGTTATTAAAACACTTTAATGTTGTGAGTCTTGTTGTAGTTTATCGAATACTAATGCTTCAAATGAGTAAAAACATGCAAATTCATTGTAGATTAGAAAAAAGTAGTCTGTTCTATATACCCGGAATCCGGGGTTAATGGGAAACGACATAGGGGTGAATAGAGAAAAAATGCTAGTATTGTCAAATTTGCTTTTGTTGTAGTATGCAGGTTGTGAGCTTGTGAGTCAAATGAAAGAAAACATAACTACATCAAAATTGGGATTATAAAAAATAATTAGTTAATAAATCTGATATTTATACAATTCCATATTATATAAATTAAAAATATCAGAGTGATGTAATTTAACTGCTTTTACAGCGTAAGCATTTCCGACATAAAGCCATTAGATAAATAAGCCACTGCTTACATAATTTTGAACATATTTTTTTAAGTAATGAAAATAAAATTAAAAACAATGTTTCAAAGTTTGGTAAACTACATAACAACAATTATAATACTACGTGTTTTGAACCTTTGGTTATTTTATGTTGTAGGTAACAAGACGACATTAAAAATCACTATTACTTATTTATAAAATTATGTAAGCACCCGATATCATGTAAATTTACATAAATGTAAATTGACATAATATCGGGACTTGAAGCTGATAAATCACGTCACACATATTCCGCACTGCTTAGATACTTTTTTAACTTGTATACTGAGCGTTTCTGTTAAACAATAAAATACAAATATAATGAATGATATATTTATCTACTAGATAGAACTAAATCATATGAGGAACTTCTATCTGGTGTAATGGTAAAACCTAAGTGTTTGGAATTTTTATGTATAAAAATTTCAAAATTTAACATTTATAATAGAAGACTTTTAAATACCTTTAATATGGTTTAAACGCCTATTTTTTAATTTTAGTTTCAATTAGCTACTTAAATTAATTTATGTAGTAAGTAAATGGTGCAAATTTAATAGTTTTTAACAACCCTAAAAATCATGTTTCTATTAACCCCTTTTTCTTTTCCAATAACCCCTCATTCATATCTATTCACCCCTTTCTTCGTTTCTATTAACCCCAAAGGCGTTTTTATTCACCCCTCAATCGTATTTACTCACCTCGCATTGGAGAAAAAATACCAATATCCTGATTTTACTATTTAAAAGAATAAAATCATTCAATATCGATATTCATATTTGTATTAGTAATAGATGAGAAACTCAACTCCCTAAAAAAAACATTTGCAACAAGGAAACACTGAAGAACTTAATGTTAAACTAAAAGTTTTACACAGCATAAAACCACTTGTACTCACACGTTTATAATAACCGCCCTTTTCTTTACTGTCATCAAAATAGACACTAATTTAAAGGTTCCCAAAATAAAGGGAAAATATTGGCAAATAATAAACCATAGTAATAAACAGACATTCCTGAGCTGTAGACAAACCTAGAGACAACTTTATCAAATAACCAGACTTGTGTCTATTCACTCTGCGATTTCTATTCACCCCATTTTACGGTACTAAGGTAAAGGCACTAATGCTCGACAGTGAACTAAAGGATGACACATTCGAAAAAAATCTCTTTTATTAAGAATAGTTTTCTTGATATAAATTTAGTACTGTTGTTAAAAGACATCTAGTGTCATCTAAGACACTTAGACAAAACCTTTCATTCGCCTATTTAAATAGTATTCAAAATAGCATGAGTTGAAGTAAACTATGTAGCAAGTGAATGCGTGCTCTGTGATTTATTATCAAAAAATTTAAGGAGGTTGAAATTTCACATGTTTTATATTTTTACGATTTATCCTACTTTTTGTTTTGGTTACGAATTAATAAGATATTATTTACATAGTAAGACCCCACAGACTTCGTTATTCATTTATATTTTGTAATTATTTAGAGTGTCTACTATTAGTGTCGAGAATTAGTCAAAACCTAAAAGCAGACACATGTGTCATCTATTGGGGTAATACGAATCTGAATTTCTAAGCGTCCGTTTAAACGAGTAAAGACTCTATTTCCTATGAATAAGGGCCTGTCTTAATTTGACTACTTTTTCACTATTGTACCAAATATTTTATGATGACACTCTGTATATATACAGAGTGTCATCTTAGGGTACAAGATGACAACTATTGGTGTCATCGTCAATTAGTTAAATGTCCTTTTGATTCCGGATTTTATATTTTAACAAGATGCCGCCATAAAAGGAAAGATGTTTTGTTATTCTGAAGCTGATATGGAAACAGCTATAGAAGAATGCATGTGAGGTGTTCTGACAGCTACTGCTGTCAAAAAATTTGGTGTACCGACAGTAACTCTATTGAATAAAGTAAAGAGAAAAACAAATAAATTGTAAAATGGGAATAAACTAAGAAATAGAAAAGATGTTGGTAATGTTGGCAAAAGCTACTGCACCATATTTTGCCAAGCCTACCGTTCTTAAAAGGGATTTCTAAATTTAAATCATTCTCTATTTTCGTAACACTATCTTGCAAATTGTCTTTCCCTATCAGAAATCCTTGTTTCATAGATGGTGCATAGATATTTGCAAGATAGTGTTAAGAAATTAGTAGATGATTTAAATTTAGAAACCCCTTATAAGAACGATAGATCTGGAAAAAGATGGTACGGTAGATTTTTAAAATGTCACCCTGATCTAATTTCAAGACAGCCCCAAAATTTGACTACTTCCAGAGCTAATGTGACAACATCTCAATTCAAGAACTGGTTCGAAGAGGTCAGCTGCTACTTAAATGATAACAACAACTGGGATATGTTGTATGAACCTCAGAGAAATTTTAATATGTATGAGACAGCTTTTTTCTTAAATACTAAAGATAATGAAGTGTTAGCACCCAAAGGAGAAAAATGGTTTATCAGAAAATTAATGCAGATGAAAAAGAACGTTTACTGTACTTCTAGGTGCAATGCTAGCAATGCTACCAGCAATGTTCTACCTCCTTTGATAATTTTTAAATATGAGAGATACCAAGAAAGTTAAGTTTGTCTGTTCCTGAAACTTACAAGTTGATGGATAACACTCGACATAAAAATATTTTACTAGTACATCATTATATGAAATCTTAAAAATTTTATGATGATTTGTTGTATGATTTGATTAAATGCATACTTTAGTAATATGATAAGAATGTGCATATCTAATATGTCTACTATTAGTGCTTACTGATGTCTACTAATAGTGGTATAAATGTCATCTTTTAGTTCCTATGCCAAAGTTTAAATAAATAAAAATTATAATATAAATAAAGTCGATTATTTAAGTTTTTATGATTACAAGTAGTTTTTGTAATGTTACTGTACTCAAACAAAAAACTGTAACTGTTCTAATTTTATAAATATATTTGATTATGAAGTATAAAATTTGTGTATTCCTTAAAGTGTCAAGCATTAGTGCCTTTAGCTTAGTTATAAAAATACAATGAGTAACAATAGACTTTTTAAACTGAATACTCCCTAACAAAATAAAATAATGATAGCAATAAAAGCTACATTTTCGTGTGTGTTTGAAGAACATGTTAATACCAATGTTTTGTTCTGGAAGTAGTATATATAAAGTAAGTACTTCTGTAAAATTTGGTAGTCTAAACTTGAGATAAGAGCTAGAGATGGGATTGGGTTAATCTAAGCTTAACCTAGAAACTGCTGCCTCTTACATTCATAAAAACCTGATATTATTTATTTTAATGCAAGGAACAAACATAAAAAGAATTAGCATCTTATGTAATGTATTGTTATTGAAGTAAATAGATCATACAATTTTTTGCAGCCTTTATACTGAGCGCAAACCTCAATATAACATAGTAATCATATTAAGTAATATATAAACTCATCTAAGATATTATAAGTGTGAAAAATTAAAACAGTTAGTAGTGTTTTACCCTTGTAGGTCCACTTTCAATATAAGGTGTAGCCGCAGACACCGTTCCAAATATTGGTAATCCAGGCATACTTTTAAGTCTTTTACCATCAACTTCTACATAACTATCAATAAAAGCCTTTTTATTATTATAGTGGCCCACATAGTACCCGGTTACTCCAACAGCCCCTAATTGTATCACTTGTTTAATTATTTTTGATATCATTGTGCCACTGAACTTGAATAACTTATATTTAACAACTTTTGTTTCTGTAACACTACTATTATTTCAGCAATCAACATTGAACCCACAAATTATAAAGTTGATTGAACCAATAACAGGTTTAAAGTTTTCCGCTTATATCTTTAAGTTTTAAGGTTATCTTAGGGATGCAACGATATATCGGAAAACCGATAAATATCGATATATCGACACCTAAAAATATCGATAGTTATCGATATCGATGATATAGCGATATCGATAATTCAATATCGTAAAAAACGCGATATATCGAACAGGACATATCGAAACAAAATATTGAAAACCAGCACAAATTAAAATATTCACAAAACCGGGTAAAATGCTATTACTGACATGGCAACACTGACTGTGTTACAAAGTGATTCTGTTCTCTAATCTATGGTAAGTGTGTAAGTCTGTGGCTGTGGTAGACTTGAGTAGGCTGAGCTGAGCTGTCATTGATTGTTATTTTTGCATTTATTTACTGCTAATTTAAATATGAAAAGAAGTAAATTGTGGTCTTATTTCAAAAAAGAAGGAGACGGTAATGTTATTTGCACTATTTGTAACAAACGAGTTAAAACTTCTGGAAATACAAGCAATCTAGCATCACATATGAAACACAAACATCCAGAAGATTGTGATGTGGACGATAAATCCTTGGATAAATCACAACGGTATGTCGCTAGTTTCTCAGTTAATAAACACAAAATACTATGAATATACAATTTAATATAATTTAGGTTACATTTGATGGAAATATTTAAAACAAATTTTTAAGTTATCATTCGTTTTATCTATAGTATTATGTGGACTATCGACGATTGAATATATCAATATCGGTATAAGCGGATACATAACGCGAATATATAAACGCATATATTCTTTTTTTTGACAAAATATACCTAAGCATGCAAATGGTTGTATAAGACAAAAACAATTATATATTTAGTCTAGCAAAATAAAAATAAGTATCGTTGTTTTTTTTTCTTTTTCAGTAAGTTGACTGAATGTGGTGGTACTTCTTCTAGTTTGTCTAGAAGTGCTGGAGTCAGCGTTAATCTTCAAACATCGGACGAAAGTGCTAAACCCCCTGAAACGTCAGTTGATACTGTTGAAGCTTCTTGTTCGTCTGCTGTGGTTGTGTTCCCTACAACTAAGCCCGCTACTCCTAATACGTCTGCAAACACTCCAAAAATAAAACAGGCTTTTGAAAATGTGTATCAATATTCTAAAGGTGGTGCAAAATACGACCGGATAACAGATGCTATTGCGTATTTTATTGCAGTTGATAACAGGCCGTTTTATGCGGTTGAAGGAAAAGGTTTTCGACATTTGATTAAGGAACTAGCCCCTTTGTATAAAGTGCCTTGTCGGGAAACGATTAAAGCAAAGATTGATAAAAAGTATGACACATTATCAAAATTTGTGGCGCATAAATTGAAAAATGTGGATTACTTTAGTTTGACTACAGACATTTGGACAGAGACATTGACTAACACTGGTTATCTGGGACTTACTGTTCATTTTTTGCAACAGAATGAATTACAATCTGTGACTATTGGAGTTTTCGAATTAGAAGAAAGTCATACTGGCGAGTACATTGGACAACAATTGACAGGAATATTAAGAAGTTGGAATATAGATACTGAAAAAGTTATGGCTTTCGTTACAGATTCTGGTGCAAATATGGTTAAAGCAATAAGAGAGACGTTTGGGGCACACAAACACATCCCATGTTTTGCTCACATGATAAATAGAGTTGCTGAAGAGGCCATAAGAAAAACTTCCGGACTGAGTGATATAATAGAGCATGTTAGGAATATAGTAAAATACGTAAAAAAGAGACAAGACATGACATTGGAATTAAAAAGAAAGCAAATAGAAAGTAAAATACCCGATGAAAAAGCTCTTAAAGTGATACTTGATGTAAAAACGAGATGGAATTCCATGTACTATATGCTTGAACGATTTTTGGATTTGGCGCCATATATAAGTGACATAATTTTTTGTAAAATAGATGCACCTACAATGTTGACAGCAGTTCAGCTCAACACTATAAAAGATGTTGCTTATGTTATGCGTCCACTGGAAGCTATGACAAGAGAGGCTTCTGCCGAACGTTACGTCACCATTTCTAAAATTGTACCCATGGTGAGTTGTGCAATTGACCAATACAAGGAATTGGGGGTGACTTCGACTATTGCTGACGAATTGAAGAGAAATATAACGCTGGAGATAGAAAAGCGTTTCGGCCATCTTGAATACAATATGTTGTTAGCCGTTTCTACATTGCTAGACCCGCGTTTCAAGAACTTGCATTTTAAAAAACCGGAAGCTTGTGCGAAAGCAATGTCTCGAATTAGAAAATTCATTTCTGAATATAAATCTGCCGTAACGGCTTCGTCAACTTCTTCAGAAGATGAAGAAAAAGTTGAATTTGATTTTTGGAAGTACCACAAATCTTTGGCTCACACGCAAATAAAAAGAAAAAAAACTGACGGTGACGATGAACTCACGTTATATCTCTCTGCCCCTGTAAATACTTTAAAAGTAAATGTTCTTGAAACATGGCAAGAGATGCAGGGTGTATATCCGAATCTTTTTAAAGTGGCAATGTGTCATCTACCGATTGTAGCAACAAGTGTTCCATCAGAACGTCTTTTTTCGAAGGCAGGAGCTACTATAACCCAGAGCCGAAACCGGCTACATGGAAGCAGACTTTCTAAGTTATTATTTTTAAGTTCAATAGCTGGTACAAAATACTGGAATTAATTTTTTTTTTTACATTATATATTAAAATAATACATTTTTTATTTCCAAATTTTCATTTTATTAACCTTAAAAAAAAGGAAAATATCGATATATCGGCTTCGGCGTACTTGACCGATATATCGATATATAAATATCAACTTCATTCAATATATATCGATATCAATATATCGATATTTTTAAAAACTTTGCATCGCTAGGTTATCTTTATGTTTTATTTTTATTAAGATTTGGCATGGATGCTTTTTCTTTAAGCCATGTCTTCATTTATCTCAGTATCAAGTGATAATAATCCCTTATAGTACACTGCTTAACAATATGTTGATGCGTCACATTACGTAGCTCTTGAGAGATTTTGACGGCAACTTAAGACGGACTTAAGACGACAACTTAACTGAATTCCCGGTATAACACGAATAACGTCAATGCAGCTAAAACAGAAAATCAACGTTGAACATTTTACTGAAACACAAGGTCAACCTATACACTGCAGAGCTCGACCCATTCCACCGCATCGATACGAAATAGTTAAAAACTAATTTGAAAACATGATTCAACAAGGATTATGCAGACCTAGTAAGAGTCCATGGTCATCGCCGCTACATATAGTACCGAAGAAGAATGGCGACGTACAAGTATGTGGCGATTATCGTAGGTTCAAAGCGATAGCAATAGCCGATCGCTACCCCGTCTCGCTAGTCAAGGACTTCACACATCATCTCTCAGGCAAAACAATATTCTCAACTATATTTCTCAACCGCGCTTATCAACAAATCAACATAAGGCCAGAAGACATAGAAAAACAGCCATTGTAACACTATTCGGATTATATGAAATTTTCACATTTCATTTCATGTTCAGGCTTAAAAAACGCCGGACAAACTTTTCAACGCTATAAACACGAAGTACTACTTGGATTAGACTACGAGCTACGACTACAAAACAAACTTCTACGACTACACTACCTACCTACACGACTAACAACGACTACAAAATCACACCACTTTTCTACCGACTTCAAAAAGGAGGAAGTACTCAATTTAACTGTATGTTTTTTTTATGTGTGTTACCTGATAACTTTTTTCTGGTTGAACTGATTTCGATGATTCTTTTTTTATCTAAAGGTGGTGTTTCTCATATGGTCCCACATAAATTTGATCAACGTCTGACCAATAGTTTTTGAATTTTACATTTACATTTTGAATTTCACATTTAAATTATACATATCAAAATCCACTTAAAACTATTATTTAAGCAATAATACAGGCACACGAATCCGCCACCTAGCCGGCCAAGTTCTCGCCAAAACCCTTTTAACTCAATTAACTATAACACACACCGCGCAGATAAATTATATTACCTATATTAGATATTTTATATTATCATATTATATGTATCTGTAAGCACCGGCCGATATCGAAAGATGGTGACAATATGATCTGCATATTCAAATATGTCTGCAGTTATAAATATGGCATAGTATTTTAATTTATTTTATTTTATTTTTATTTATTTTATTTTTATTTTATTTTATTTGGAAGACCAACAGCTATCATAATTAGGATAGATAATATTAATAACTACAGTAAGCCAGTTAAAGGTCCTCACTAATAGATACAAAGGTGAATTTACAACAGTGATAAACACGATTCAACACTCAAGAGTATCCAATTCTAACATATTTATGACAAATGAGGGCTTATCTGTAATAACATGTATTATACATATAAAAGAGAAAAAAAAAACACAAATATAAAAGAAGTAAATCGTTAGTTTTGTAACAAACGCATCAATATCTCACTTAGAGCTAAAAAATGCATTATTAAGTATGCGCTTGGCCGACGCATCGCTAGTGTTAAACAAATCGAAGTCAAACTCATTGGCTAACTTGTTAAAGTTATTGCTCGCTCGCCAAATAAATGTATTTTGTCTGTAATTTGTAGATGCAAACGGGAGACTTAAAAGTTTGTTGTGTCTAAGAGGTTTGGCAGGACAGCTAAGATGTAGTTGAGATAAAAGCTCAGGAGAGTCAATAGCACTACAAGCTATTTTTAACAGAAAAGTGAGATCAGCAATCTCACGGCGCTTATCAAGAGGAAGAAGGTGATGCTTTTTACAATAACTAATATAATTATCAGAGGTATAGCGATAGTCTTTGGTTCTATAACAGAGGTAACGGATAAACTTTCTTTGGATATTTTCAAGTCGGGTAA